ATATTTTTCAGACGAGAAAGATTTAATTAAATATTAACTATAATAGTCTAAAAAGTGACACAATTGGTAAAAGATTTCAATATAAATAAAATTTCATGTGACAGTTGGGACAAACAATAACATAACCTAACTAAATTTGACTTCTTAAACAAGGAAAGAGACTGTCTATCCTTGTCTAAAGTGGCCTCTCAAGATGGCACTTCCTGTCTATCAATATGTTTACCCCCACTACCTTTACATTCCCTCTTTTTTCTTATTGCTCGATGACCCCAAGTCTTGAACGTCAATTTGTTTCTAATTTCAATAGTTGGTCCTTTCTTAACGCATCAGCGACTCCGAAAATCAATGCAACCTACAAAATGAAATGTTATGAAATACGAGTATTAAATCTATAAACTTAATTAACTGGTTTACCTTTATCATTAGAAACACGTCGGTAGGAGCATCAGAGATGAATTTCTGGACTTGTTATTTTTCAAGTGTTTTTAATTTCTTTGGTACATAACCTCTTCTTTTTTTCTTGATAAACATAATTAATTTATTATATTTAGATATATCAATGTTTGATTTTAAACTTACGGTTGATTTTTAGCATCGAATATTTGGGCCACAAACTTGCTATTAATTCTTTTTCAGCAATGTTGCTGAAATGTCAACAGTCAAAACACCATGCAATAAATTCACCGTATGTTGTTTCGTACAACACTCAACACAGTTTTTTTTTCAGGTAATAAACTTAAAACTATTTCATTTGCAGTTTCTGCCACTTCTGGTGGAGTTAAATTAAACTCTTCGTCAATATCTATCTTTTGATTTTTCAAATACACAGCATTTTAAACAATAAAGTAAATAATGACATACAACTTCATTTTAAATTTTTTAGTGGGAATAAAAATAGGTATGTTTGGTTACCTACATCACAGGTCACTGACAATCACAGAGCGTTTAATTATGCAAGCAAAGGTTGTGTGTCTAATAATGAAATCGTTCATTAATAGAAAATCATTCATTAATAGGGGTCATTAATAAATGATTTTGAGGGTGTTCAAAATGATCATAAATGGACGGTCAACGGAAAACATATTTTTCAGTTCTATATCTGATCTTATGTTTAAGACGATATTGTCGGTAACAGCAATAACTTAACGTTTATTGTAATAAATGATTCTCCGTATATAATATAATGTACTTAATACATTTCCCCATACGTTAACTTGGTTTAATGTTTTATTGCGGACATTTTGACTAATTTGGTTAGTTTTGTTCGTATTTTTAAGTTATAACTATCAATTAAGTCATAGGCTTGCTTGTATTGCTCAGCAATATATACAGAGTTCAATATTTTGCTTATAAATATTGTGTAATAATTATTTTTCTTGAAAATCGGATCCATCTAATTTAGTTTAATTAATTTAATCTTCCTTTCCTAAAATTTACGTGGAATTTTCTGATATAAATTTCACTTTTACATAAATTTTCTATACTAATTTAATACTTCCTATTTTTGTAATTATAAACGGCACTAATAGGGATATAAACTATGCTGGTGGTGTAATTACGCACATGTGCTACGCTTCTTTATAAACTAGTGCTTTCAAACGACAATTATAGTAATTCAATTTTGTATTAGACAATACTATTTAACGAATCTTTCTTTTTTATTAGTCTAGACCAAAACACACCAAACAATGTCCGAAGAATATGGGTGAGTCATCAATTTAATTATCGACTTGGATTTCTTACCTAGAATTACATTTCTGGTCTAGTACCCACAACTTTAAACATTCGTTGCGTCATTGTTTCTCTTAGAACCATTGTTGGTCCTTCACACAAAGAACGTGCTAAATCATTCATGCTCTTAAGAGTATTCATACCAAATTAATAAAATATATTGTGATGTACCCGTTTAACAATAATTTTTTAAGACGGATCAATTTTTTATTTTCGACCTCTTATTCAAAAAATTGAACCTTGAAGACACCTTCATCTTTTGATAACTCTGCCACGTACTATCACCATTTTACTTATGCTGTGATGCATTTTTTTCTGATTAGTATCCACCTGTCCTGACTCCTTTTTGGATCTGTTAGCCATTGTTGACCATTAGCCTTTGCTTTATGGCTGTGTCGGATCTTGTTTCTGGTGCGTAATCATAAATTTATAATAATCAATAATCAGAAATTGTCAATTTAATAATACAATAAAATATTTGATAGTATTTATTTATTCGTGTTAGAAGTATCATACATTTTAAAGCAGACATATTATACATTAATATATAAATAGTAACATGAGCACATAAAACCAAAGATAAAATAGCTGTAGATCGTTCTCTCTCTCCATCTACTAATACGACGTAGGGCTGTGCTAGTCGCATTAGCCATGTCCGTTTTCTGACTTGCCTTCACAACCAATGCGAGATCATCGGCATGAGCTACAAGTGTGCATCCACTTGGCATCTGTAGCCTCAACACCCCGTCATACAGGACATTCCACAGGATGGGATCCACAGTACTGAATCCTGCGGAACATCCTGCGGCAAACTGATGCTGGTATCTTTTTATCTTATGGACCTGTCAGTAAAATATCTGTCAATTACGTTGACTAGGTACTCACCAACGCCCAATTGTCTCAGTCTGGATATGATTTTTTCCCATAATGCCGTGCTAAAGGCATTCTTTTCATTTAGCTATCGAACTAAGATGGCAAATTGGGCCAAATCGCATCTCTTCCTCTTCACCTCTACCTTTCGGGATAAGGACATTCTTAGCTTCTTTCAATATTGTTAAAAACTGCTGTTGTTCAAGTAGTTTGTTTAGCAATCTTAGGAAAACCTGCAGGTATCTTAGTGCGGCGAGTCTTGCTATCTCCGGCATGACTCCATCTATGCCAGGTGCCTTTCGAATCTTCATCCGTCCAACAGCCTCGTCGAGTTTCAACTCAGTAAAAGGTTCCACATCTACGAAACCAATAACCCTCTCACGCCTATCCTTCACCCAAGGAAAGAGTTACCGTATTAAATGGCGTTTCTCCTCATCAGGCAGAGGGTAGGGTGTCTTTTCCCGTTCAATTTGGTACGGAGAATCTTGAAGCCTTGCCCCCAGATATCCCTTTTAAGATCCTGAAGAAGGTTACTCCACCTTTCTTTCTTAGATCTTCTTATCTCATTCCTATATTCATTCTGCATTCGCTTTAATTCATTTATTCTCTTACACTTGTACTCTTCTTAACCTCTTACACTCCCTTCTTACTCTCATGCAGTATGTCCTCAGGCATTCAAGCTGCTCCTTCCACCAGTATGGTTGTTTTCTTTCATACCTCCCATTTGATCTTACACATTTGATTATATGTTAACTAATGTTTTTTTGATTGAGTCTTCTGTGCCTCCATCTGTGACATATCACACCTTAATACCTCTAGCAGACTTCGGTTTGGGTGGTCATCTAACTATACGAATTTTGTTCTGGGTTTTTCCTCCATTATATCCAGCACCCTTATTTGTTTTAGGTCTCTGAATAGAAACCGTTCAGCGACATATCTGGGCACATTTGCAGCTTCTCTAAGGCAGCTGTTATGTGCTGTTTGAATGTTCTTTTTGCTGCGAAATAGGACTACTACACTTGTATGCCAAAAATTGGCGACGTTAAGTTCACTTAGTACAGCGCAACCTAGGTCCTGCAGTGAACATATTGTGATGGTGAATAAAGGACAATCTAGGAGACCAGAGAGTGTTCTGTAATTTGCTCTTTTCCACAGTCGCATAGGGGTGACTCACAGGGTTTGACACACACGTTTGGTAGTGAGGGTGAGGATTTCCAAAAGTGTACAAATATGTCTCTCCTATCCAATTCAGATCTATCTAGATTTTTTCGTACATCTATCCAGATATAAATGTATTCCTTAAACTAAAATCATTTTACAAATAAATATATCAATGAGTCTTTTTAGATTTTTAGCGCCGGATTAATTTAGTTTATTTAGATGATGTTTGAAAGTTACATTTACGGTATGTGGTTCTCTTAAGAGTGTTTAGACGCTGCCGACTAACAGTCGCAACCTCGAAAAAGACACAAGAAACTGTATTAAGTAACACGCCTATATTTTCTATTTTGTTCATATCTCTCGCTAATGCATTGTGAAAGGTTTACTTACACATGCAGAAATATAAGTTAAATGACTACAGCTGATTATTTTCTCGCTAGTTGTTATGCTTGGTGATTCTGTGGGCCATTTAAAATGATCATATAGTTTTTGTTGTTGTGTAATGGATATAATAAATGTATTATATTGTAGGTTTGAAATAATATAAGTACGGCAAATATTTTTTGTACATCTTTATAAATTTTACAATCAGTCAAGGATCAATAAGTAACTGTTTCCTAACTCTTAACATAGTACGTATCTGTTTAAAATCTAGCATCTACTTAATGAGGTCATCGTAGTTTCTTCGTATAGCTAAAAATATGTCAGATAGCTCAAAGTGTTAGGTTATGTTCACCTGGTTCTGTTCTGGTTGGCAAATATCTAAGAGCTGAAAAAAGCACTATCCACGATTTTTTGTCAATCTTTTTAAACTGATTTTACTGTAGTTGATCTGAGTATTAGTTGCAGGTGTTTAAATTGTGTCTGTACAATTTATTTTGGAAATTTTTTTTCTTCATCAGATGCCTTCTTCTAATGAAGGTTGACAATCTCTTGCCTATCTTTGACCCTTATTATTAGTGACGAACTCTAAGCCAGTCCATTCTTTGATTTTCTTAACCACGTTGTTGCTGTATCTGCCCTCCATATTACCCTAAATTATCAGCTGTATGAAATATCATAATTAAAGTTATTTTTTTATGAGGAATCTAAATTTAAAATAAACAATGGGGGTTCCTATAAGATTTTTTTTGTTCTATATATATATATATATATATATATATATATATATATATATATATATATATATATATATATATATATATAAATATGTAATTATTTATTAATTTATTTATAAGGATATTTTTTTGTTACAGGAGCTTTTCTCGCAATTACAATTTTCGACCGAAACGGCCCTTCCTCCCGACACACTGCGTAGGGCGCTTGCCGAAAGTTTCTTCGATCAAAATCGCTTTCAGCTAGGCTTTATGGACGATGCAGCCGAATGCTTTGAAAATATGCTTCTGCGTATCCATACGCACATTGCCCAAGGCGAAGCCGAGGATATGTGCAGTGCAAGACATTGTATTCCACATCAAAAATTCGCAATGACGCTTGTGGAGCAGAGTGTCTGTGCCTCCTGTGGTGCTACTTCGGAGCCCCTTTCGTATACACAGGTCAGTAATTCGTTAATTATAAAAGGATAACATATACTAAAGTTCTGTATTCAAATAAAACGTAGATTCCCTTGCGTTTATGCTTCGAATATGCCTGTTTCTTACAATTTTTAGCCTGGAAAATTTTGTTCTTGAACTTTTTTTCCTCAATCTTTCCTCCCATAATAAAACGCAGAAGGTTGTATGTTCCAGACAACCTATTTTATATATTTTAAGAATGCTTATAAGTTCTCTATCGATTCCCATAATTTGTAGCACCCTTTTAATTGATACCAAATTCTGCCCATTCATAAATTCGTAACAGCATTCAACGAATGAAATGCCTAGATGTAAGTATTCTTTGAATAAGTGAAATGAGATGGTCAGACTGACAAAATAACTATGCACGATCATGTTTTATAATACCAAGGGAAAGACAATCCACAACACAGAAATGAGGTAGAGCAAATAAACGTTCTTTTTTTATTGTGTTATGCATATACCTAAATACACTAGAAAAAAGTTATAATGAGAAATTTAGCAAAACTTCAAATCGCTAGAAGTAGAAAACTTTGAACAACCGTATCTTGCTTAAAATTAGTTCTAAATCCTTCTACAGTAAACCATTTTAAAGGTAATTGATTTTTATTTCTATTAAATGCATCACTGCATATCCCCAAAACTGCGTGGAAAAAAGTTTTAGAACAATGTTTGCGAAAAAATAGACAATATCCATAAAATGGTGTGAGTAGCGAACTTTGAAAAATCGTATCTGGAATACTATAAATCCTTAAGACTTGTGTATGAAAATGAACAAATAAGATGGCGATCTTACTACCATTTAGAGCGTAATACGCAATGTAATAAATTTTAATTCGAAGGACCACTCACTAATGTAGGAATAAAAGAATACAAGCACTAACAAGTATGTAATTTAATGACCAACTTTGTTACTATTACTAACTTAAAATTTTGTGATGTGATGTGAACTTTGTTACTTTACTCTAAACTAAAAGTGTTCAGACCTCGCTGGATTTAGTTGATACTAATAAATCCACCCTGGGTGGATTCTGACACTGACTACATTCAAATTATAATTGCAGTGACTACCAGGGAATTTTTGTGAGGGACAACTTCGAAATTTCTATCAGTTAGGTAAAACCACCTTTTTGAATGTTTGCTACCCGGGATTTCCCGGGTTTTCGGGTAATTTTCTCGAAAGAGTACAAGTACAAGTTTTCAAGTGGGTAAAAACATCTTTTGAATGTAAACATTATTTTACTACCAGAGTCGTAACAACACTTGGATACATTTCTTACAGAAATTAACAAGAATACAATTTCTTACAGAAATGTATCCAAATTCTACTAAACGTTATATTAAAGAGGAAGGATAAAAGTTTTTTTTCTGTTAAGCAATGCCTATACCTATACCCCCTTGGAAAAAAGTTATGGGACAAAAAAGAAAAATCGAATATGTTCCTGTTTTTTTTTTCAAAGTAAGTGAAATAAAATTCACCCAAATGCACAATATTGCATAAGGACAAACTCACCCCTTTCTCAAACACGTACCCCTTTGAATGGCAGCACTTCGCGTTTTTTTTTTATATTTGAGAGTCCATTGTTCATCTTTTTCTTAACGTGCCCCATCCCTGAGGACATTGGCGAGTATCATGGTCCATTTGACTCTATCTGCAGCCGTTCTCAGTTGCATTGTCTCAGATTCTTCTAGCACTTCTAGCTATCTCAATACGCCGTTTTATTTCCGTACTTCTATCCCATTCTTCATTTAGTTTGCAAGCTAAGTACTGATATCTGTATACACTGCCTAGTTTTCCTTTAGCATAAACACTGTCTTCCTCAATCTTGTTCTTGCTTATTACCATGATTTTTGTTTTATTTGTAATCTTCGGACCAGGACAATTCACAAAAAGAGCGTATTTTTTGGTTTCGTCTAAAATATGGTCTAGCATTTCGTTATCGAAAAACAACTCAAATAAATTTATAGGTCGTTCCAAGTTCTTTTATTATACTTTTTTCCTTTTAGTGATTTCAAAAAACTAGTATTAAGTTCTGTATAAGTGATCATATACGTGGTGTTTGCTCGTCTTCCATCTCATTAAAAACACTATTGTCTTCTGGTGCACCATCAAAATAACCCAACTCGGCTTCTGCTAATAATTGTCTTCGGGACAGATTATCTACAAATCCACCATTATCATCGTCAGCCGAATCCTCATCAGTCAAAACATTTGGATCAGGTGGACTTATGTATATGCCGGTTAGATCATTGTCATCGTTATAAACCATATCCAGGGCTCCCTGAAGCGTCAAACCTCTACTGTATATAAAAAATTAATTAGATCTCTTATTTGACTAGTGTGACGATTTGGTAACAGTGTGATTTAGTCTAATGTAAATTTTATGTTAATAGGTGAGGTGGCCTGCAATATTTTTTATGTTATAACCTACTTCCTTAACTATATCAATAATTATTTAGATTGCCGGAAAGCCTTAATAGTAAACGAATAAAACTTCTTCCAAACTTTTAAATGTAATACAGTAACAAATTGAATACACTGACATCTAGTAACGAAAAGTTGAACTGCGGATAGATTTCTAGCGTTAAGTTGAGCTACAATCAAATTCAATGCGTGTTTGCGTAACCAAGTGGTTACACAAAGCTTTGATGGGTTAATTGGTCTATTAGGTATTTGGGTTATGTTCATAGAATGGCTGCATTCAGTATTCCAATATGGATACTATCTAATACATTCACAGGCAAAAAGCGCAAAGGAAGACTTGTTAAAATGGGGTAAAAGAATATTTCATTAAATGTTGGAGCTACTAGGCGCTTAGTTCTCACGTATTATTATTAGTTGAAAATCCAGAGGCTCAATTATTTACAATGTGCGGCTTCTACATAAACATAAAGGTTGTTTTGTAGAACATTTTTGTTATAATAAATTTTTGGTTTTGGCAAAATAAAAAAACATTTATAGACATCTTAAAGTTTGAATGAGTGATAAAGAAAAAGAATGCTAGATTTTTGGGACTTTCCAGTGTGTTCACTACATTCGTATAGTATTATAGAAATTCACTACGCTACTTTCTATTATTTTTTTAATAATGAACAAACTATAATTATTTTACAAACAGTAAATTATAATTATTGTAAAACAAACCTTAATAAATCTAAAGATTGATTGCAATATTGATTTGAATAAAACGAATACGTGAAATACCTAGTTCGTATTTGATGTTATATTCTTGAAATCATGCCCGAAGCTAAATTGTATAGATATGTATGAATTTATATAGAGCCTTGATTAGTAAATTCCTTTGTCTTTAGTAAATTCTAAGTATGTAATAATTTATTGCTATTACTTCATGGTGTTTACGTGCTGCTTGAAAGTATTATTTTTATCATAACACCTGCCTCATTAACCCAGAGGAACAAATCTATTAAATCTATTACGCGTGTTTCTTATACATTATAATTCTTAATAAATACATACGTACATACCTTTTTTTGTATCTTAATTAAGATATTTCTCTTGCAGTTGTTCTTATTATATAGTTTTTATTATATCAAGTTTATAGCCTTTTTTTGCGATTTACAGTTGTTAAAACTATTATATATATATATATATATATATATATATATATATATATATATATATATATATATATATATATATATATATATATATATAGACTGAAAAAGCGATGAACGCTTGTAATCAACGCTGATCAAATAGAATACAATACTCCAATATTTGGGTGTGCAGCGGAAGATGGGACAAAGAAGTACTCTTTTTAGTTAACCAAGCTTTCGCAAATCTTTATTTGCATCATCAGGGTGCTACAATAAACAGAATTAGTATAAATTACAGAGTAAGACTCACTTTGCCTCTTACACTAATTGAGGTTTGTTGTCTTGATGTTTATTAAATGAAACTGGGAACTCATTTGACCCCTATAACTATGGCGAAAACTATCCAAAAATTGATTTAAAACGTTCTTTAACATACATAAAAACACTTAGAACACACATACATAAACATTTAATTTATATTGTGACTACGTACATGTTTTGTAACTATTTTAACATAATTTTATTTAAATGTTTATGTATGTGTGTTCTAAGTGTTTTATGTATGTTAAAGAACGTTTTAAATCAATTTTTGGATAGTTTTCGCCATAGTTATAGGGGTCAAATGAGTTCCCAGTTTCATTTAATAAACATCAAGACAACAAACCTCAATTAGTGTAAGAGGCAAAGTGAGTCTTACTCTGTAATTTATACTAATTCTGTTTATTGTAGCACCCTGATGATGCAAATAAAGATTTGCGAAAGCTTGGTTAACTAAAAAGAGTACTTCTTTGTCCCATCTTCCGCTGCACACCCAAATATTGGAGTATTGTATATATATATATATATATATATATATATATATATATATATATATATATATATATATTATTACGTTTGATTTGATATAATATATGTCGAGTGTTAAGTTAAATATTAAATCTTCCCCTTTTCTGGAGATGCTCATGGCTAAAACAACTAATTATAATATCAGCACATACGAAGACGGTAAAAAAAACAACATGTAGACCCTCCAACAAAATTACTTCTTAGTGTTGACTATCAGAGATTCCGTAATAGGATCATCATCATCATCTTTGGCTCGACAATCCTCTATGGATCTTGGCCTGCTCTAAGATTCGTCGCCATTCTGTTCGGTTTTTGGCAACATGTTGCCATCTTCTGATTTTTAATATTCGTAAGTCGGTTTCTACTCCATCTAACCACCTAATTCGCGGTCGGCCTTTGCTTCTTTTTCCTACAGGTGTTCCTGTGGTTAGCTTTTTAGCAATGGTATTTTCTGGCATTCGTATTATGTGTCCAGCCCATCTAAGTCGCTGTGTTTTAATGAACGTTATGACATCTGGCTCATCAAAGAGCTGATACAATTCAAAATTATATCTTCTGCGCCACTGCCCTTGGTCGTTTACAGCTCCAAATATTTTGCGGAGTATTTTACGCTCAAATATTCCCAAAAGTCTTTCATCTTTCTGCGTTAGAGTCCATGTTTCTGCTCCATATGTGAGGACCGGCCTCAGCAATGTTTTGTATATAATAATTTTAGTTCTTCTTTGAATGTTTCTGGAGTGGAAATGCTTTTGGAGTCCATAGTATGCCCTATTTGTAAGATTTATTCGTCTTTTGATTTCTTCGCTTGTTTTATTGGTAGCAGTCAATAGCGACCCAAGGTATGTGAAGTTGTCAACACGTCCAAAGGTATGACTTCCAAAGACTGTTTCTCGTTCCTCATTTGCTATCGAATCCTTTGTAACCAACATGTACTTGGTTTTGTCTTCGTTGATGACTAGACCGACCTGTTTCGCCGCTGTTTCCAATTCTAGGAGATATTGCTCAACATCTCGCTTGCTACGCCCTATTATGTCAATGTCATCAGCATGCTAAGACTTGTATCGATCTATTGTAAATAGTACCGCCATCCCTAATTCGTGTATCTTGGACTGCCTTTTCTAAGGCAATATTAAATAGGAGGCAAGCCAGAGCATCTCCTTGTCTGAGTCCATCCTTTATCTCAAAGGATCTAGAACTCCCTCCTTGTATTCTAACAGTGGCTTCTAAGTTAGAGATTGTCATTCTCGTTAGTCGGATAAGTTTCTCTGGTATACCAAACTCATGCATTGATTGGTATAGCACTGTTCTCTTGACACTGTCGTATGCGGCCTTGAAGTCGACGAATAGGTGATGGGGCAGCTGATCAAATTGTTCGTTTAAATTTTTATTTTTGTAAGTCTGCTAACCCGCTCAGCTATTGGACCAAAATATCTAGGTGCCCAAATAATAGTTTTGACATTTGGACCACTTTTGGTCTAATAAACTTTAATAACAATGAAAATCTTCTTGCTAACGCTAACTTTATTTCCCTTTCACACTGATGTCTTATGAAAACAATTATTGATTTTTGAAAACTCGTAATGAAAGTTGAAAACACCAAGGCAATAAACTTTGAACTTCAAATGTAGATAAAGTGATTTTTTTGTTAATTTGTAAACTTTAACCATTATTCTTTTGCTACTTCATTATTTTGCTACTTTACTTTTACTACTACATTCTGGCAACATTAAATATCTCAAGAAAATCTCTAAAAAACGGTAAAATTGTAGGGTTTTATTTATATCCCATGCATCGATTTTTGATTTTTACTATAGAAAAATATTAATATGACAGCTAATACATAACATATAAGCTAAATAAGATAAATACATATTACTCGTGCAATTTCGTAGCTTTTTATTTAGGGTAATATTGTAGTAAATAACAATTTGATATACACATTTACATATTTGTAAACAATATCACAATAATTTCTTTACTTTTGGTGTTTTCAGATGGTTCATTACGTGTCTACATCTACATTAGTCTACCAAGTGAGAGCAAATGGAGGTAGAACCAACGCAGATCCTTTTGGACAATTACTAAGAAAAGCGGGGAATATGGGAGATGTTCGAACATGTCCGGTAAGTTATAAAAGTTAATAAATTAAATACAACTCAGCTTAAGCTCGGTTCTTTTTATATTCTTTGTATATTTTGCATGTAATTTCTTAGTTAGCCGTAATAGGTTTTATCAATCATCTTTTTTTGCAAAGATATTGCGATTTGTAACCAAACTGGTTTCATCTTAAATATATTGGTCGTTTTTCATATCAATTTAACTTTAATCTGCTGGTCATCTTGTGATAAACCATTGTTTCTATTTATTATTTGTTTTGGACATCGGAAACCAATTAATCTTTCGACTCCGGAATATGGGTCCCCTCGCACTAGACAGCCGACATATATGAGCAGCCAGTTATAGCAGTCAATCCAGGGTCAGTTGTGTCCGTTTCTTAAAGCGGTATGGACGTGGAAGAAGCCATAATTTATTCACCAAGTGTCTCTTAAAAAGCGCAAAATGAAAAAAGGCTGATAAATCTCCATCGCAAATTTTATTGGTAATTTCTCCTCCTTTTTTCTCTTCTCGATTACTATATTCTTCAGAAGATATATCCCAATTCGCCTTACGGCTTTCAACTCCCCGAATTAATTTTTCGGTGTCCAAAAGTTATTTTAAAAACGTTGGAGATAGGTCTGGTTGACAAGGTAAGTGCGGCAACCATATTCATTTCCCTTCAGAATACCCACTCGCTTTAGCTGCAGTGCAAAAGACTAGTTCTAGTGGTTGCCGCAGCCAGGGATCCTTGGCTAATAGTAAACCATCGGGGTTTGACTGTCTCCCGCGAGTATATACTATCACATGGAAATATATTTAAACATACCTATTCTTTACATTATTTGTGAGTTTATAATATAGTTGTTAGTAAGAGTTGACAGCTAGTACACCGAAAATATCAAAATACAGAGAAGAGTCCGCCAGGGTTGCGTGCTGTCCCCACTACTTTTCAATGTCTACAGTGAAGCGGTATTTCAAGAAGCGCTCTCAGACTCAATATAAGGTATATCTATCAATGGAGAAGTTTTGAATAACTTACGTTTTGCAGACGATACAGTAATAATTACGGATAACAACAATGATTTACAGAACGTAATGCAACGCCTTAATGAACGCTGTCATGAGTACGGACTGAAGATAAATTTAAAGAAAACTAAATGCATGATCATGACTAAATCTGCACATGCAAATATCCAATTGACTATTGAAGATACTGCAATTGAGAGTGTTAATAACTATAAATACTTACGAACATGGATAACATCAGATGTAGACCAAACCAAAGAAATTAAGACGCGTATTGAAATAGCACGTACATCATTTATTAAACTTAAAAAGTTTCTTTGTTGTCGGGATATAAGGTTAGAACTACGCCTGAGAATGCTTTGATGTTACGTGTTCTCTACTCTTCTTTATGGTCTGGAAGCTTGGACACTAAAACAAGTTCATCTGAATAAGTTGGCCGCCTTTGAATTTTGGTGTTACAGAAGAATCCTACGAATATCATGGATTCAAAGAATGTCAAAACATGGAAGTAACTAGAAGGATAGAAAATGAGGCGGAAATAATATTAACTATTAAAAGACGAAAACTTGAGTCCTTGGGACATGTGATGAGAGGGCAAAAATACGCATTATTACAACTTATTATGCAGGGCAAAATCCGAGGAAAGCGAAATGTGGGAAGACGAAGAATATCCTGGCTTAATAACTTAAGGGAATGGTTTGAATGCAGTAGTGCAGAACTTTTTAGAACGGCAGTCAACAGAGTCCGCATAGCCATGATGATTTCCAACCTTCGATAGAAGATGGAACTTAAAGAAGAAGAAGAATATAGTTGTTGATTTACTGATCTTGGAAATATTTTGACAGTCACTGTGGGAAACTTACAACGTAAAAATTCCTTCTACTTATAATTAATAGCTAAAATAAACTTGGCAAAAGAAGAATATTCATGAGAATGGAAGTGTATATTCATTAAATTTGACTAAAAACTGCTCATTTGTCGAGACCAATCTTCATAAACGTTCGTTTTAATTGTTGTCGTTTTATTTTGTTTACAACCTTGATTGTATAGTAACTTCCAGCAACTCCCAGTTAAAGTCAACATTTGATTAACCTAGCACATAATTAATTATTACATTTACTAGTTAGTTGAGACTGAGTTCAGCGAAAAGAGTATCCTTTCGACTTGATCCTTTTAACATTCATATCCATCTACTTTTAGTATTTCTGAGAATTTAGCATTCAACAGCTTTTCATATTGAATTGTTTTCGCCTTTATATCTAAATATTGGCATAATTTTAATATATATAATCCCTTATTTTGTTTTAAGAAATGATATTTTACACTCACTGTAATATATTTTTTTTCAACTTGATAATCCTATATCGAATCATTTTCTCTATTCTCATTTGTTTAAATTGTTTTTTTTTGCAGCTGCATTCAGTTCATACATCGTGGTTGGTTTAATCTTTGGTCTTATCTTTAGGGCCATTTATATTTTTTGATTATGCAACTCAACTCATACACTTTCATTCCCTGCATCCGTTAATATATATATATATATATATATATATATATATATATATATATATATATATATATATATATATATAAATCGGTTTAGAACGTCTTTCGACGTTGTCCGATACCTAAACACCATCTCTTTCTATCTTCGCAGTCGTTTGTCGTTAAATTTCTTTCGCTCATGGACTTGTCTACGCCGTGTTGCCATTCTAATCTGGGTCTTCCTCTTTTCCGTCGACCTATCGGTTGCCATTCTACTACTTTTTTGGGGAGTCTTGTTGCTGGCATCCGTTGAACATGCCCATACCACCTTAATTGTTTCTTCTCTATATCTTGAGTTATATTTCCTTCTATTCCCATACGTTGTTTTATTACATCATTTCTGATTCGGTCTCGTCTGGAAATACCTAAAGATCTTCTCATTGCATCCATCTCTACTGCTTCTATTCGCTTTTAGTTATTTTCACTAATTCTCCATGTTTCAGCGCCATAAAGAAGAGTAGTTTTAATCATGGTCTCATATATATTTTCTTCCTTTCGTTATCTCTTTACTCCACAGTATACAATTGAGACATCCTAAGACTTTCTTTGCTTGAGTGATTCGTTTTTCTATTTCCCGTGTATCAGTTCCTGTATTGTCAAAGGCAACACCCAAGTAGTCATAGCTCTGACAGCAGGAAATATGTTGTCCGTTTTCGAGGTCTATGTTATCTGACTCGTTTCCAATACAAAGATATTTGGTTTTTGTTGTATTGACATTCATTCCCCAGTCGTTATATTCTTCTATCAGTTTTCTAATCATGTACTGCATGTCTTTCCTGTCGGTCGCTAGTACTACCTGGTCATCAGCAAACTGGAGTGTATATATATACATTCATTGCTAAGTTCTATACCCATCCTATGCACCTTTCTTTTCCATCTTTCCAATCCGTTATTAACAAATATTAATTTTTTTTATTTTCAGAGTGCTTGTGGAGCGGTAATTCAAATAGGCAGGACCCTTATGAACCGTCCAGAAATAGTATCTATTGGCCTCGTTTGGAACTCAGAACGACCAACTTTGGAGCACATAATGGAAGTGTTTTCAACTATAGGCACAACTTTAAGACTAGGAGATGTTTTTAACACTGTAGTAGATAGCCGATGGGCTGAACTTTCTGTACATAATCTTGTAGGTGTTGTAACCTACTATGGCAAACATTACTCTACATTTTTCTTCCATACGAAACTTCGGGTATGGATTTACTTTGACGATGCTACCGTTCGAGAAGTTGGGCCAAGATGGGAGCAGGTTGTTGAGAAATGCCGAAAAGGAAGGTAGGTTATTTACAATTATTTTTTTACTTCTTTGAAACTGAAGAAAAGCAGCTAAAAGTTTTAAAAGATGTATGCTATAAAAACATTTTTTAAATTTGAAGGCAAAGCTAGACTTTTAAATTGTGTAACTTGTTCTAATATTAGTCCCACATCAACAATAAATGAAGTCCAAGAACCAAGGCGATTACTCAGTGCTTAACCTGTGGGAAAATATAGCGGGTCAAAGTATCCATAGGACAGGATGTACCAAAACATTACAAATCAGACATCTCAAAACGGTGGTGCTATTATATGACAATATCTCCTTTGTATTGTTCTGAAGCTATTTTCTTGTGGCATTGTAAATTAATTACTATTAAACTGGGAATAAGCCACAATTAAAGATATAAATACATTTATTGACGTTTCAATTTCCACTTCGGAAATCGTTCTCAAAATACAAACAGTAAATTAAACAAATTTTGTTTTTTGTTACATAGTGAAAAATTCTTCTAATAATTTAATTTTATCTGACTCATTTATATTGACAATTCAGACATACATTTTTCATTTTAAAGTAAGTAGAGTATGGGCCGCTTGGGGCACCCCCCACCACTCCCACTCTGACGTCACACGGTTGCAAATGCCAAACGGCTTAACGTAGGATGACGTACGAGGGCTCGTTGGAAAGAGGATGAAAAATGGGGTTGAATGAAATATGTGCCGTGCGCATCGGAGCATGCCAAAAGATCGTTACATCATATCTTTGTTTCTATTGGTCCGATTGTAACGTACGAGGGGCTCGTTGGAACGGGAAGGAGGTAACGAATACGTTGAGACAAAAAACAAAGATGGCGGCGTTGCCAAAGGGGACGCTAAAACGTATCTTCGTTGCTATTGGTTCGATCGTGACGTACGAGGCCTCGATGGAACGGGGAGAAGGTGGGGAGACAAAAAAAACAAAGATGGCGGCGTTGCCAAATGGGCGCTAAAACGTGTCTTCATTGCTATTGGTCTGATTTTGACGTATGAGGTGTCAAAGCGTTGGTGACACACAGAAGCCATGTACAAGCTCGAACATTCTTCTTCTTGTACATACAGTGCCTAAGAGAACGTCGACACAGAACGTGGTAGAACGTGAAATGTTGCTTGAATAACGTGACATTCGACATGTATTTGCGACACAAAACAAACATGCATTTACTGTTCATCGTAGCAGGAAGAACAGGGTGATAGAGCTCAACGTATAATAATGTGTGACATATCGATGGGAAGGGGATGTGGTAACGATTATGTTAAGATAAAAAGTAAGCGGTAAGACAATGCCAAAACAGACGGTTGTGTGTGAGGTGTTGATGGGGAAGGGGACGTGGTAACGAATATGTTAAGATAAAAAGCAAACGCAAAGACAATACCAAAACGAACGGATCGTGATGTGTGAGGTGTTGATGAAAAGGGAGGTGGTAACAAATATGTTAAGACAAAAAGCAAACGCAAAGGCCGTGCCAAACGACGCTATGTCGTACCTCTGTTGTTATTAGTCAGATTACTACGTGTAACGTTAAATGAAAAGAAGAGGTGACGGGGAAATATGTTAAGACAAAAGACAATGACCAAAAAACGCCGTTATATCGGATCTCCGTTTAGCATAATAGACATTGAAAGAAAGTGGCGCTAACAGAGAATCATCGCCGAAACGTTTCTATATCAAATATTTGACATAGTTTGAATGGGGTTCCACATACAGTTGATCAACTCGTCACGCCACCTGTCGACTACATCTAGCAGCTGACATCGTAAAAAAAAAGACACTCCTTCAGTCTATCTCTCGCTCCCGTGAAACAATGCATAAAAGGTGAGGTGTGCAATTATTCGAATCATCTATCATAATTTAGAATGTACATAATAGAAAAAATGTAAAAGACAAAATTAAAAAAAAAGGCAAGGTCTATACAGATTGTTTACAGAATAAAAGGTACTTTATTGTTTACAGAATAAAAAACCAATAAAATAATTTTTATTATAATTAACGTAAAGTTTAAATGTTTATTCATTATCGTCATCTTCACCATCTTTATGATCTTCATCATTAAAATCTTCATCATAACCAACATCATTATAGTCCTCATTATCGTCATCTTCACCATTAAAATCGTCATCATAATCAGCATCATTATAGTCCTCATTATCGTCATCTGCACCCTCCTCATGATCTTCACCACTAAAATAGTCATCATAATCATCATCAATATAATCATAACCATCATCGCTTCTTATACCTAAAACCCACAACCACTGCACAATATCGTTATGCCAGAGGGGTTTATGGTTGTTATGGTCGACCCCAGTGTTATTGATAGAGGTCCTTATACCAGGGTAAGTGATCTGAAACACGATACATAGATAGATTGTAATAGATGAAAAGAATGATAAATAGTAAAATCAAAAGATGACAGCATAGCATAAGGATCTAAATAGCGTAATTTGAGGATGTATATGGCATATCGTCGTAAAGAGGAGAAAGTGATGTGAATGACGTGACATTAGACGTAGAATGTGACGTTCAACGCAGAACGAGACACATCGATGCAAAGCAAAGAAAATGACGCTAAAAATTTAGAGCAAAGAAAATAATGAGCGTGTTGGTTTCCAAGGCACCCGTGAGCACCGTTGACACCCCCCCCCCCCCCCAAGAGGCCTACAACCAATAAGATTCCTCAGAGAAATCAAACATGTAAATTTGATGTTGAATTAAGATATTTTTTTGATAGCATAGAACAAGCGATTGTTTGTCCCACATTCGAGTGAGTAACGAGCAAAGTTGCAATGATGTTACAAAGTCTGAAATCTTTTAATATATATTTTAAAACATAGGAAATGGTTCAGCAGACATCTTTTTATGATCTGATGGCCATCTTTTGTATGAGTAGGCTACATGAATACTAAATTTTAACTTAATAAGATCGGTCAGTATTTGTCAAGTGGGCTATAGCAGATATCTTTTATTTTTCTTAACTGAACATCTTTTTAAAGTAGATAAAGCTATAGGGTTCAGAAGACATCTTTTTATGATCTGATAGCCATCTTTTGTATGAGAAGACTGCATGAATACTAGATTTTAACTTAATAAGATAGGTTCAGTAATTGTCAAGTGGGCTATATCAGATATCTTTTATTGGTCTTAACTAAACATCCTTTTAAAGTAGATAAAATTATATGGTTCAGAAGACATCTTTTTATGATCTGATAGCCATCTTTTGTATGAGTAGGCTGAATGAATACTAAATGTTAGCTTAATAAGTTTGGGTCAGTAATTGTCAAGTGGGCTATATTAGATATCTTTTATTGGTCTTAACTGACCATCTTTTAATGACAAAGTATCTTATTTAGGTAGATAGGACAAACGGTAACTCACTACAGCTTTTTAGTGACCCTACTTTTCAGTGCGACAGATAATCATGTGTATCACAAAGTAGAGGAAAAAATTACGCTGCTGAAAAATAAAAGTAATACATTAATATAAATTTAAAAAAAATAAAAAAATTGTACAAAAAAATTAATAATTAAAAGGTGTTAGTTTTAAACTTTGAGTTTTTTATAACCGAAAGGTATAGATGTAAAATCATCGAAAAATTTTCTTTTGGTTGAATTTGGTCTATATTGTTTTTCACAGGTTTTCGTAATAACAGAGTGATCTTGTGTTCTTTGAATTTGTTTAGCAACTATGGAAACAGGATCGGTTTTTGTAAGTACCATATCTCTGATTTTTTCAAAATTAATTAATTTAGAAACTTCATAATTTAAACAAATACCTTTAACCTTACAACAAATTTTCTCGTCGCCATTAGGTAAAGTATACTTATATGCATAATTTTTAGGTCCTCCAGAAACGAACTCTGAAATATATCCACCACCGAGTTCATCAGTTAAATCGCCTATACAATCGCCAGTAGGTAGGTCGGGTAACTTAACCTTGGAGACGTAAATAATTGAGTCGGTATCATAGTACAAGGTACGTTCGCCCACTATCTCTAAATATGAATATAATTTAAGACGAGCCATGGCAGTAACATAAGAAGCCAGAACCACGTTAACTGAGGGTGACATGGAAGCCGCTTCTTCTACATACTCCCATGTGACAATCAAGGTCTCCTCATTTACAGGAACAAGAGTATTTACAAAAATTGAAGGATTTACCATCATAGCAAAGAACGCTCCAGGCTTTTTTACAATAGATGTTTTGGGGAGATTCTCACGCTGCGCAAACTTACCCCAGAAGGAATTCAACATCAACTTAGCCAACGATCTCAGACCTGGATTCTCCGTTATTTCGGAAAACTCCAACCAGACATTCTCCCTTTGGAGAAACTCCTCGATGTATCGGTCTTTTTCCTCATCCAATACACAACCTCGTGGCCACCCTGAAGCTTGTTGCTTAATCTTTATAAATTTGTTCATCATGTCAGAGAACAGACCCTTTTGAGATGTCGATAACTGAATTGTATCATAATTCCATACCTCATACGTTTCCAACAGTTTATAACCTTTAGATAAGGCTTGTACCACCTCTTCTGCAACCCACGTGCCTGTTAGAGCCCTCTCTTTATCGGAATGTTGGCATTCCTTCTGAACAAAGTCCTCACCACATTTACGACAAAGAACAAACATACATTTACTGTTCATCTTAGCAGGAAGAACAGGGTGATAGAGATGGGTAGGAGGCAATATCCTACACCTAATTATACCCGATACCTTAGATAAATCTATATCCTGACACTCCTCACCAACGTACACTTTAGGATGACCTACAGGAAACCTGCCATACTTGCACACCCACGGATACAACGAGCAAACATCAACGTATTTAATTTGCTCGTCCTCTTTACACTTGTAATACTCTACGGTATTACCTGTACGACCACCATACAGAGCATCTCGTGGATTGAGAGGTAGAGTTGTCATTAGGGGGTGACCGTCAGTATATGATGTTATCCCTGGTGTCATCATTTTACGGAAGACAC